TTGGTTGATTTTAAAAGTATATGTAAGAATGAATAAGAACAACATAAGTTCCAATAAGAAATTATAAGCAAATAATACTCCAAGACTTTACAAGAAGCAATGAGCAAATAAAATTTCTGAATTGATTTATAAGAAACTACTTGACCATTTTTAATTAGACCTTATAAGAATTGGAAAGTAAGTGATACCGTTTGATTCTTCTTCTGATTCTATTAAAATAAAAGTCATTAAACTTTCCTATTGACAAAACTGAATGGGATTATAATGATTCTAATGAGAGCAGAGATTTGAACAAGAAATTGATCGATTCAATAAGATAATTCAACTCAGAACATTTATCTTTATTTCTAAATGACGCAAAAGAGTTTAGCATTATTTAATAGGTTGAACTGTTCCAACATCTAATAGTAAATACCCTTTCTTTTGTTCTAAGCATTGTGTCAACTGAAAAACAAAATCCTAATAGAGAATATCATGATAAGAAAATATTTTCTAAGTCACGTTTCCGTGCTTGATAAATTCGTAAACGTTTTTATAAGTAACGATCCTAGAGTTTCTTATGAAACAAGTTGATATGTTGACAAAAATCATTTACCAATAACTTCTTATTTAATCTGATTACATTCATTCTAATAGAATCGTATAAAAATCAAACAGAACATCGAACGGTGTCACTTACTCACAAATTCTCATAGGATCTTATGACAAACGGTCCGGTTGTTTCTTATAAGAATAGTTGACATGTTAATAAAAATTATTTTATTCCTGCTTTGAAATACTCGCTAAGGAGCAAAATTGATTAATGTTTGAATTATTTTTAATTTTCAACCCAAATGGATTAGGCGGAAGTCATGTTTCCATGTTAGAATAGCACAGTCGACAGCGTACTGGACCTGCCGATTAAGCAGACTTACAGTAAATTAAAACAATACACAGTGGTTTTTTTATTAATACATGCAAATTTTTTCCACCATCAAGCAAAAATTCAATATGAACTAACGTTGTTATGGGCAACGATACTCCAACCCAATTTTAAGAAATAGATAATAATAGAGATTCGAGTACTACATGCTGTAGTCATGTTTGTCATAATGTTGAACTTAATTTTAGGTAACTAGTTAATAAGTTCTCTATTTGTACCTGATAGATGTAAATAACTTTGTATATATGTTCAATAAAAAACTTTTAACAGCGTACTGGACTGAGGACCCGAGGATGTCAGGATCGAAGCTCACCATCAGCAGGATATTTTCAGACAATTTCATTTCAGATATATATTTACATAACAAATCCGTATAAATGAAAAAATTTTAGAGTGAATTGAAATTTCCTCTGTTTAAACTGATCTTTTTGTGGTAAGAAGATAAATTCCGATAAAAAACGATGCGAAATGCGCTTATAAATTCTTATACAAAGCAAGCAGAATGTTTTCAATAATTTCTCATGAATTCCGATAGAAAACGATACAAAACGTACTTATAGATTCCTATAAAGTTATAAGAATGGATCGGAAAATTACTTTAGAAATATCATTTGTTTTGCAAGCATTTATCCCAAAATGTCTCATAGATACTTATGAAAAGTGTGATATTTCTGATGCAACTATCTGATTTATTCTTATGAAGTTTTTTTCATAAGATTTTATCGGAATGTATAACCAGGGTTGTTAGTAGCTTCTTTTTTTTATATAGTAAAAATTTATAATTGTAGAAACACTGTATTTCCGGATCATAAAAGGAGTGAGAATCGTAGTCGGAGATTTTTACTATTATTCAAGTCTAAACTTACAATTATTGTTATTTGCTTAAACTTACAGCTATTAAAGCTGATTGCAATTTGGTATAGTACAATATTTACCAATATTATACCCAATTGCGAGAAAAGTCAGTACTGCGCATGCTCTATAAGAATGTGTAGCGGCCACGACCAGCCCTATACGTACGCTTATGACTCCATCAGAAATTATTTTGCTATGAGCGCTTGTACTACTGACAGCTGAGACAGATGGGTCAACCTGAACGATGAATTGCGCACTAAATAAATTTTGAGTTCAAAAAACATCGGTGCGCTTTGAACAATATTTCTTTTTTTTTAATTAAATGAAAATAATATCATTCTCTCACATGATTTTTATACTCATAAAAATTAATTACATCCTGATTTATCAACATTAAAGGATAAAAATTGACAAGGCTATAAAGTAAAGTCTAATTTATAATTTACAATGATTAAAAGTATTTAGAGCAACTAATTTAGTTGGTGGGCAATTATGAGAGCGTCAACTACAGTGTAAAAGATACCTTAGACATTATTTTTTCACCTTCAAGGGTGAGCAGGTTGATGCATCTGTCTTGGCAGTCAGCACAATTAGCGCTCATGAAGTCACATTTTAACCAAAAGAGTGGGGGAGTCTGATAGGGCTGCCCACGACTAAGGTCATCAGAATTGTAATAAAATTCTAGTCACAGTGTAAAACAGTTTCTTTTAATATCTGATTGATAATATCAGAAAAATCAAGCAGAGTCAATTTATGATGTAAGGTGATGATGACTGAACTTACGAAGATGATAGGAGCCACATTAGTTGACTAGTCAAGTCAATTTATCCCAGAAAACGTTGCTGAAATTATAGTAAAGTTTTATTGGTAGTATGAACAGTTTCTCATACTAGTCCAGTCAATATGTAGTAAAAAAACAGGGTTAATACGAAATTTTGTCACACGAATCACGATCGGGCTCATTTCATAGAGAATAATGCGCTGAATTTAATGAACTAATTCATAGCCAAAAAACCATTCGTGTAAGATGATTTTTTTGATTTGAAAATTATTTTTTCCGATAAATCTACATATTTTTTGTTATATATTGGGAATGGAGCAGAAATCAAACATATTTGAATAAAAAAAAAATTTCTTATACTTAAAGAAATATTTTAGCCACCTCACTTTTTTTGAATTCATTTTCATTTTTGAGATTTTTTGTCTCAAAAAGTTAAAAAATTATTTACGGTAGCAGGCATTTTTTCTGCTCATCACGCCAATTTATCAGTACTATCGATCGATTAAAAACTTGTAATACCGATAATATTGATAAATTGGTGCAATAAAAAGTGCACTCAGTATAAAACGTGCATGAATAAAAATTTAATGTCTCATATAAATAATATGTCTCAGGAATAACTGTGCTAAAACTGTCTTGTTGAAAAACAAAGTTTTAATAGGACAAATGCAGAGGAAATTTCCTGTAAAATCTTTTTGGAAATTATTTCCTTTTTGAAATTTGTTTAATCCTATTAAACTATCCTACAGAAAAATACTAAATCCTTTAATAGGAATATTTGATGGAATTTTAATATTGTCGAAATTTCCTATCAAATTAAGAGTAAACCTATTGATCTTTTCAATAGGATCTTATAACTACAAAAAAAATATCAGTGCTCTGTAGTGGTCTGGGTGCATATGGAAAATAGAAAGATTCAAAAGATAATACGACTTCGAAGAAAAACTTTATTGTTTCAATATGCCACAATAGGATTCAATATTGTTTGATGAATGTAATTTTGTCAAATCTTCATAAGGGTTAAGTATATTGAGAAGGAAAATACAACTTGGAGAATATATTGTCTCGCATTGATATTTCTCTTTAGAATTTGCTGTCTTTCAACAGAACTAATTTCTATAATTTTTTTATTATTTACAATTTCTATATTTTTTGATCGGAAAAAGGAAGATTTGAAAAAACAATACAAAATGAAAAAGATTTCTTTACTATAGATATTCGAATATAATTTTATATTTATTAATTGGCCTGATTTAATTCAGTTCCTAGAGGGAATAAACAGACAGAAGAGTAATGTACGACATAAAAAATATTTTTATATCACTGGAAGCTTTAATAGGATTGAATAATAGGAAGTAAATAAATTAAAAAAACAAAATACGACATAATGTTTCCTAGTGACAGCTTTCGCTTTTTAATTGATGAAATGCTGGGAATAAAAGAAAGAGTATTGATTAATGGATGTTGAAAGAGTTCAAGCTATTAAGTGATGCAGAAACTTATTGGGATTTGATATATAATAGATATAATTTTTGTAATCCTATTAACATTTGTTAATAGAAAAAATCAGAATTCTATAGGTTTATGGTATTTATTCTTAATTTTGATTAAAATCTACATTTTTCGATTGAACTTGAAACTGAATTGTTTGAAATTGATGTAACATTCATGGAATTATTATTACTATTAATATTATTATTATCTTACGATTCGTCAAATGTATCTGGCCAGGGATCCCAGTGGTCCGACCCACCTGGGGCCTGACCAGACAGAATTATCCTGCAGACACCCGACTCCCTCAGGTTTGAGGGTGAGCCAGGGCTGCAGCCGTTCAGTAATTATTTTAAATGTCTCAGGATTCGGAGAGAACCAAAGATGACCGCTTTCTGCATACAAGGCGCGAGAATTCCAGACTGACTACCACAGACTGATATTGATCGTACCTCTGTCAGGAAACGGTCACACTTGTGTATGTGTGACAATGGCAGCAGTAAAACGCAAAACAGAAGAGGACTCAGGGTGTCCTCCTAGTATACACCTCTTCTAAATAGTACTAAATAGTACTGCTCCAATAGACACTCTCGTTTCACCAGATGTTACGATGAAACGTGTCCTACAGAGCGGCATCAGATGTTCGATGCATCTCACTTTTTGTTGGGGTACTGAGAGGCATTTGAGCAAGTAAAGGAGAAGCTTATGAGATCTTGTGTAAAATACCTTTTAGTAATCCACCTAGGCCATTAATAAGTTGCATTTAAGATCTTATTTTCTGTGTTTCAGAACGCTATATTTCATTTTTTTAAGTTCAAGCCTATTTATCATAAAACCGTTACAAATAATTTTAAATATGAAAATATATAATCAAAAATTTTGTTCATATCATGCTTGCATTTATAACCGATGAGTGATTTCTCTGAAAATAATAATACTGTTTATAAGTACCTTTATGAAGAACTGCTCAACTTTATCCATTTTTTTGTTAACATCATTAAATTGAGATTCGAAATTATCAATCAGTTGTATTCTCCTACTAATAACCATTAATGCTTTTCGTAATTGTTCATCTACCTGACGATCACGGAATTCATGCCTTTCTAATTTTTCTGTATTTTCTCGCATAATATGAGCGAGACTGAGAATTGCACTTCTGATATCTTCATGACTAAAAGAAAAATACATAATTAATTTGATTAAGGAATATCATTATAAAAGTTGATCGATAAGAGAAGTTAGTTCGGATAAATTTGTTGTAAACAATTAAAAACAGAATATATGTAAACAGTTTTTGCATTATGTCAATGATATGATTATATCATTTTTAATGCACGTACTTACGTTATTTCAAAGCACAAATAGCAATTATGACTCATATACAAAAGTATTAGTGGTATAAAACTTCTTTTAAAATAATTTGGATTCATTGTTGGATAAAACTCCAAGGCACCATCACTTTATAACGTTATGATAGAAAAAAAAAATCAGTTCAGTGTAAAAACCAAAACCGTTGAACTTGAATCGATGAAAATTCTTTTAATATAACTATCATCGTGTTTCAACATGTATTCAGTAATATCAACGTTCTTGATATATTCCTAAAACAATTGAATAACATTACTACGACTTTCACGGAATGTTAACATGCACATACAGAAAAATAATTATTTTTGTCCTCAATGATCATGTTTTATTGGAAGTTATTTAAATTTGAACTAATATTTACATATAAAACTACTACCAAAATTCTTTTGAACGATTGATTATTCCACTCACACAAAAATTTTAAGATTTTATGGATAAATTTGGAAAAAATATAACACGAAATTGAAACAATTTTTCTGCTATTTTTTTTTTATATATTATTGGACAGACATTAATCAAGAGTATAGAAAAGTTGACTGTAAGAATCCACAATACTTTATAGACTTCGCTAATAATCTTCAGAGAAAAAAAAACATCAAAAACGATCCGTGTTAAATAAGTATTCGAATCGATTTAAATTCTTATAATATTGATATTTCCATAGAGCAGATAATACAAAATACATGCTCAACCTAGTTTTCGGTTCACTGCCAAGATGTAAATGTTTATGAAATTCAACACAAGATAATCTTTATTACTCTTAGTTCATAAAACTTGATGATAGAGACGTATAGCGTCGTATGATCAATCAGTACTCTGTTGGATATAAATTTACAACAACAGACGATTAACATAACAATTAACAAAATTTATAACTTTTACAATATTGTAGAGAACCGTACTTTCAAAAATTAATAAATAAATATTAATTATGTAGAGTAACAATAACATTACTGATCTAAACAATCCTGAATTTATAACTTTAAATTAGAGACACAGTTTCACAAGGTTTTTTTTTTATTTATAAGGCGTATGACTTAATTTTTACCAATTTTTTAATGAAAATTAAGTAGAAAAATCTGTACAAACTGAGTCATACACCTGATATTCTTTAGAAATTAAAAAATTATCAGGGAAATTGAATGAGTTATTTCTAATGTTCATAAAAAAATTAAAACTTACAGTCTATCGATCATTTATAATTTAGACGAGAGCAGATACTCGGTGAAAATGCATTTAGAAATATCTTGAACAGTAAAAGGTAAAATACATGTTGAATGCGTCGTAACGTCCAAAGAATCATTTTCAAATTATCATTATTAACTTCACTAATAGCGTTTATTTTCAAACCACGTTAGATTTGGTCACTCTAACCGTAACATCGACAAGTTACAGTACCGCTTACTTATAATCAACTACCTTCTCCTCTTTATCTTAATCTTGCAGATATTCTTGGTTCAACCTTAATACATAGACAGAAAATAAGATGAATTTAAACATCGTTCTGATGTCGGAATACTTTTTCAAAACGTAACAAATCGTAATTACTATTTGCTTCTAATGTGAAATGTAGTTATTGTGTATACAATATTTTTTATACTACTATTATGAATGTTCTACATACATAGATGAGAATAATGGTTGCAGTCAGTATAAAACGTGCATGAATAAAAATTTAATGTCTCATATAAATAATATGTCTCAGGAATAACTGTGCTAAAACTGTCTTGTTGAAAAACAAAGTTTTAATAGGACAAATGCATAGGAAATTTCCTGTAAAATCTTTTTGGAAATTATTTCCTTTTTGAAATTTGTTTAATCCTATTAAACTATCCTACAGAAAAATACTAAATCCTTTAATAGGAATATTTGATGGAATTTTAATATTGTCGAAATTTCCTATCAAATTAAGAGTAAACCTATTGATCTTTTCAATAGGATCTTATAACTACAAAAAAAATATCAGTGCTCTGTAGTGGTCTGGGTGCGTATGGAAAATAGAAAGATTCAAAAGATAATACGACTTCGAAGAAAAACTTTATTGTTTCAATATGCCACAATAGGATTCAATATTGTTCGATGAATGTAATTTTGTCAAGTTTTTACAGAAAATCAATAAAGTTAAAAGGCAAATACAACTTGAAAAATATTGTCTCGCATTGATATTTCTTGATAGAATTTTTTGCTTTGTAATTTTGTTGAAGGGCAACAGATGATTAATTAAAATAATACAACGTAGAAAATATATCTTTACTATTAGATATTCTCATAAAATTTTATATTTTTCGAGTGGTCTCATTCAATGAAGTTTCTACAGGAAATGAATACGCGCAATGTTTACGCGCAGTCTAACATCGAAGTTAGGCTCCTTAACATTGATTTTAACATCGATGTTAGTGTGCGTAAACAGCCTTAACATCAGTTGCTTAACTGCAGTTAAGGCTTTACTCAATGCGATTTTAAATCGCACCGATGTAACCGATTAAACACCGATGTTTAGTCTGCGCGTAAACATAGCATTATTTCAGACTTCGGACAGGCCGTAGGAACTTGGAGCCCTACTTGTGGAATAGAGGAAAAGATCTAGAAGATAGCAAGTATGGAGAAGCATTGAGACCAAAGTTCCAGAAAAGTGAAGATAAGCTGAGTCCAGAAAGCCAGTGCTTTGGAGTCCAGTCAATCCAGGGACGGGTAAGATCCAATTTACATCTAAATCTGCTTCTGCTGCTTCCGCAAATTATATCGAGTCAATCATTTACAGGAAGGAATGATTATAATCTTCTTTTTGGGGTTCCTTTTTATGCGAAAATGCCCGGGACCTTCCAGGTTTGGTTTGCTCTCGTAAGGAGTTGGTTACTTGTAAACTAAATCGGAGAGATGTAAAATTTTATTTGATTCCTGGATGATTTTGCTCTGGGTGTTACTGCTATTATTGTTAATAATTGAATGCAGAACTTATAGAGAGATTTAGATAATTATCCGCCGGAAAAACTCAAATTCAACAATTATTGACGTTTTTTTATTGTTGATAACGATTACAGGCTGTTATAAATAAATTATAGTGGCGAGAGTAGATATAAAATCAATCATTAACTGAAAAATTTTTTTTTTTAAACTGATATTTAACTTGTGTTTACGAATATTTTTTTGCAGTTAAATACGCGAGATCTATTCTTATCATTCAACCCACATTCAACCGTTATATACGTCCAGATATATCAAAAATATTTTAGTTATTCAACTAGTTTTTAACTTACGTTTAACTCCTTTTATTTAGTTAAATACCTAATATTTAACCGGGATTTAACCGGAATTCAATCGAGATTTAACCGCGAATAATCATTCAATACGCGAGTTATTCTACTGCTTTTTAACCGGTTTTAAACCGAGAAAAAACGGTTGAATTTTGGTTCGATTATTTAACCTGTTTTTAACCATTTTTCAATCAGAAAATAACTGGGATTTAACTTGAATTTACCCGAGTTTCAACGATTTTTCAACGTAGAATTGCAGTTCCGAGAAACCGCGAGGGATACACAAATGTTCGTGTAATTATTTTTAATATATTTATTTTATTGAAATATCTTATGTATATTAATCATAACGGATCGTGTTGGATGTATGTTTAATAATGCATGCCGGATGAACCATATGTGTTAAATAACCGTCAACTTCCCATTTTAATACATTTTAAAAAATGGAAAAATATTCCGTGTTATAATTTAACACATATTTGATGAATTATTGAATAAACATATATTAAATGTGTTATGATTAACTGCTTTTTTTTTGATAAAAGAATATATAATGTGCTCTCACTGTGTTAAAATAAAGCAAAAAATTTATTTGACTTACTTATACGCATTAAAATAACGCATATACGTCTTTAACCTGCTTCATTTTAATTCACATGGATTTGTAGTGTATGTTCAACGTTTGCTACCACCGATTTAGACCCGAAATGAACCTGGTATTAATGTTCTTCAAATAAAAGAATGTTTAAACTTTTATTTAAGCTTATTTAGAGGCAGTAACTCGATTGGTACATTTCCTGTTAAAAATGTCCTGCCCACACAATAGTCCCATTTAAATCGAGGCGCGAATGATAATTTTATTTAACATAGGAGAAAATTTGGGGCTGACTTTGAAGCAATAACTCTTTCGTTTCAATTACTGTACCTACCCGAGTCGAAATATTTGTAAATGTAAAAAAGTGAATAATTACTAAGTTGTAGTTATGAATCTTTCAAATTAGTACATATTTACTTTTTTGTATTAATTTTTTGGTAATTATTAACTTCCCAGTGAGAAGTTATAGTAATGGGTCCGATTTTGCGAATCCCGAATTTTGACATATCTCCACGTTTTAAGGTCCCCAGAGTCGAATACGATCGTCTTTCAGTGGACGTCTGTGTGCATGTGCTTATGTGCGTACGTTCGTTCCGAATTTTCCTGGTCGATTATCTCGAGAACAAAAAATGATATCGATGTGGGACCAATTGCATTCGACGCGTAATTATGTAACTTAGAACTGATTAGATTTTCAGCAAAATCGGTCAAGCCATTTTTTTTTGTAGAACCAAAAAACTAGTGAAAATGAAAAATGACCTGAATTTCTCAATTTATAAATTATACCATTTTTTAGACAAAATTTCGATATCTTTGAAAAAATATGAATATTAAATGATTAGAATACTTGTATGAAAATATGGTGACTATATTTCATCGAAAAAAAAAACTTTTAAAAAACAAAAAACAAAAGAATTTCAAACTTGTGTCAGGATTGAGAAAACAGCATTAAAGACGCTATAATAGTCAATAATAATTGTCAATAATATGGAATTGTGTCTATAACAATTGAATATTGTTACTAACAAGTGATTATTGATCATGGTAATAATTAAATAAAAAATTTTAAATTGTTATAAACAATAAAAATAGGGACCCATTCTATATATATGAGTACTTTTAACGCACAATTTTTTCTTTTACTAAAGAAATGTTACCAACCGTATGACATCAATGAAAACATATTTTTTTCGTGTATAACAATGAAATTTGTTGTGAACAATGAAAAAAAGGATCTATGAGGTAAATTCGAATTCTTCTAACGCACAATTTTTTCTTTTACTGAAATAAAGTAACTAACCATATCAAATGAATAAAAACAGACTCATTACGTTTATAACAATTCCATTGGTTATAAAGAATGGAAACGGGTTCTATTCGAATTGTTTTTTCATTTTTTTCACTGGGAAGTTGGTCGTGTGGACCTTTCGGGTCGCACCTAGACCACTACAGAGCACTGATATTTTTATTTGAAGGGTTGAGGATTATTGAGGATCAAAAAATCTTCAATATCTTAAAACTAACTAAAATTAAGATGCTGCTAGTGAAAATATCCTGGTAGGGGATCTTGTGGAGCTCAGTTATGTGAATTATAGAGAGAAAGTCGTGTTCGGCCGGAAAAATTACCAACTCTTAAACTTTACTCGGACAACTTCCTGTAGAAATGAAACGATTATCTAAATCTCTCTATAAGTTCTGCATTCAATTATTAACAATAATAGCAGTAACACCCAGAGCAAAATCATCCAGGAATCAAATAAAATTTTACATCTCTCCGATTTAGTTTACAAGTAACCAACTCCTTACGAGAGCAAACCAAACCTGGAAGGTCCCGGGCATTTTCGCATAAAAAGGAACCCCAAAAAGAAGATTATAATCATTCCTTCCTGTAAATGATTGACTCGATATAATTTGCGGAAGCAGCAGAAGCAGATTTAGATGTAAATTGGATCTTACCCGTCCCTGGATTGACTGGACTCCAAAGCACTGGCTTTCTGGACTCAGCTTATCTTCACTTTTCTGGAACTTTGGTCTCAATGCTTCTCCATACTTGCTATCTTCTAGATCTTTTCCTCTATTCCACAAGTAGGGCTCCAAGTTCCTACGGCCTGTCCGAAGTCTGAAATAATGCTATGTTTACGCGCAGACTAAACATCGGTGTTTAATCGGTTACATCGGTGCGATTTAAAATCGCATTGAGTAAAGCCTTAACTGCAGTTAAGCAACTGATGTTAAGGCTGTTTACGCACACTAACATCGATGTTAAAATCAATGTTAAGGAGCCTAACTTCGATGTTAGACTGCGCGTAAACATTGCGCGTATTCATTTCCTGTAGAAACTTCATTGAATGAGACCACTCGAAAAATATAAAATTTTATGAGAATATCTAATAGTAAAGATATATTTTCTACGTTGTATTATTTTAATTAATCATCTGTTGCCCTTCAACAAAATTACAAAGCAAAAAATTCTATCAAGAAATATCAATGCGAGACAATATTTTTCAAGTTGTATTTGCCTTTTAACTTTATTGATTTTCTGTAAAAACTTGACAAAATTACATTCATCGAACAATATTGAATCCTATTGTGGCATATTGAAACAATAAAGTTTTTCTTCGAAGTCGTATTATCTTTTGAATCTTTCTATTTTCCATACGCACCCAGACCACTACAGAGCACTGATATTTTTTTTGTAGTTATAAGATCCTATTGAAAAGATCAATAGGTTTACTCTTAATTTGATAGGAAATTTCGACAATATTAAAATTCCATCAAATATTCCTATTAAAGGATTTAGTATTTTTCTGTAGGATAGTTTAATAGGATTAAACAAATTTCAAAAAGGAAATAATTTCCAAAAAGATTTTACAGGAAATTTCCTATGCATTTGTCCTATTAAAACTTTGTTTTTCAACAAGACAGTTTTAGCACAGTTATTCCTGAGACATATTATTTATATGAGACATTAAATTTTTATTCATGCACGTTTTATACTGACTGCAACCATTATTCTCATCTATGTATGTAGAACATTCATAATAGTAGTATAAAAAATATTGTATACACAATAACTACATTTCACATTAGAAGCAAATAGTAATTACGATTTGTTACGTTTTGAAAAAGTATTCCGACATCAGAACGATGTTTAAATTCATCTTATTTTCTGTCTATGTATTAAGGTTGAACCAAGAATATCTGCAAGATTAAGATAAAGAGGAGAAGGTAGTTGATTATAAGTAAGCGGTACTGTAACTTGTCGATGTTACGGTTAGAGTGACCAAATCTAACGTGGTTTGAAAATAAACGCTATTAGTGAAGTTAATAATGATAATTTGAAAATGATTCTTTGGACGTTACGACGCATTCAACATGTATTTTACCTTTTACTGTTCAAGATATTTCTAAATGCATTTTCACCGAGTATCTGCTCTCGTCTAAATTATAAATGATCGATAGACTGTAAGTTTTAATTTTTTTATGAACATTAGAAATAACTCATTCAATTTCCCTGATAATTTTTTAATTTCTAAAGAATATCAGGTGTATGACTCAGTTTGTACAGATTTTTCTACTTAATTTTCATTAAAAAATTGGTAAAAATTAAGTCATACGCCTTATAAATAAAAAAAAAACCTTGTGAAACTGTGTCTCTAATTTAAAGTTATAAATTCAGGATTGTTTAGATCAGTAATGTTATTGTTACTCTACATAATTAATATTTATTTATTAATTTTTGAAAGTACGGTTCTCTACAATATTGTAAAAGTTATAAATTTTGTTAATTGTTATGTTAATCGTCTGTTGTTGTAAATTTATATCCAACAGAGTACTGATTGATCATACGACGCTATACGTCTCTATCATCAAGTTTTATGAACTAAGAGTAATAAAGATTATCTTGTGTTGAATTTCATAAACATTTACATCTTGGCAGTGAACCGAAAACTAGGTTGAGCATGTATTTTGTATTATCTGCTCTATGGAAATATCAATATTATAAGAATTTAAATCGATTCGAATACTTATTTAACACGGATCGTTTTTGATGTTTTTTTTTCTCTGAAGATTATTAGCGAAGTCTATAAAGTATTGTGGATTCTTACAGTCAACTTTTCTATACTCTTGATTAATGTCTGTCCAATAATATATAAAAAAAAAATAGCAGAAAAATTGTTTCAATTTCGTGTTATATTTTTTCCAAATTTATCCATAAAATCTTAAAATTTTTGTGTGAGTGGAATAATCAATCGTTCAAAAGAATTTTGGTAGTAGTTTTATATGTAAATATTAGTTCAAATTTAAATAACTTCCAATAAAACATGATCATTGAGGACAAAAATAATTATTTTTCTGTATGTGCATGTTAACATTCCGTGAAAGTCGTAGTAATGTTATTCAATTGTTTTAGGAATATATCAAGAACGTTGATATTACTGAATACATGTTGAAACACGATGATAGTTATATTAAAAGAATTTTCATCGATTCAAGTTCAACGGTTTTGGTTTTTACACTGAACTGATTTTTTTTTTCTATCATAACGTTATAAAGTGATGGTGCCTTGGAGTTTTATCCAACAATGAATCCAAATTATTTTAAAAGAAGTTTTATACCACTAATACTTTTGTATATGAGTCATAATTGCTATTTGTGCTTTGAAATAACGTAAGTACGTGCATTAAAAATGATATAATCATATCATTGACATAATGCAAAAACTGTTTACATATATTCTGTTTTTAATTGTTTACAACAAATTTATCCGAACTAACTTCTCTTATCGATCAACTTTTATAATGATATTCCTTAATCAAATTAATTATGTATTTTTCTTTTAGTCATGAAGATATCAGAAGTGCAATTCTCAGTCTCGCTCATATTATGCGAGAAAATACAGAAAAATTAGAAAGGCATGAATTCCGTGATCGTCAGGTAGATGAACAATTACGAAAAGCATTAATGGTTATTAGTAGGAGAATACAACTGATTGATAATTTCGAATCTCAATTTAATGATGTTAACAAAAAAATGGATAAAGTTGAGCAGTTCTTCATAAAGGTACTTATAAACAGTATTATTATTTTCAGAGAAATCACTCATCGGTTATAAAATTGTTTTAACATTTAAGGGCGTTGTGTAGTTGGCAACCCGAGTCAAACAATAAAACTTTATTCTGATCTAAAACCCATGACTAAATAAGGTTAGAATATAAACCCGATTTTGTTCTGCAATTTCAAAAACAGATTTAGTAATAGGTCTTGGTGTAAGATCAGAATAAGGTTCTGAAAACCTGATTCTGTTCTAAATTTAATAAATAGTTTTAGGAAAAAGATTAAAATAGATTTTTAAAGTAGTTTCATTTTTTATTTAATTTAAATGTCTTCAAATGAAATTATACATCTATTTATAATTCTTGTAATACACAAGTATCTTCATTACCCAGATCTCCCGCATACATGTCTTCAACCTATGTATCTTCATTATATGGAATCACCGGTGCAGTATTTTCATCAATTCCAGAAAGATACTCATACTTTTGGAGTGTTGATAGATTTGATTTATCTGTTGATCTTGTTTCTGATAATGATTGGTTCGAAATATCTTGTAATAAATTTTTATTCTCTTTTTGTGGTTCATCTTTGATTTGAATTCTTTTTTTTTTGTCTTCACACTTTATTTAAGTGTTTAGTATAGCATGTTTTGCATCTCCAGCTTTTCTTGTTATTAAATCTTAGAAAAAATTAAATGTATTATATTTTAGTATTATCAAAGTTACTTATTATAAGGCTACTTATCATAAATTGCTTTAAACATTTTTGGATGTATTTCTACAGTTACACGCGTGCCTTTATCTGACATAAATTTCAAAAATTTACCATAGATTTCAACAAGTATTCCAGTCGTTAGTTTTTTCCAATTTTGGTAATGATCAAATCGCAATTCCATAGCATTCAATCTATTTGAATCCGCATAAACTCCAGAGTTTTCAGCTATTTCAATTTTTCCTGAACCATCCTTAAAAACTTCTTTTGGATGCTGAAAATTTTATTAATTACAATGAATAAACTTTAAGGAAACTTGGAAAAAAGTACAATCATTTGTTATTATTGTTTAATTTACCATAATTAAATATTACCTCATTTGCTGTGTTTTTTTAGTGTATTTATAGACTAGAAAATTCACTAACTATTCCACCAATTCTATCATCTCCAGAGAAACTATAATAAGATTTTTTAGTATGGAAATACAATAAAAATAAAGCTTTCTGTTATTTATGATATTATAAATAGGACATAACACACCTTCCGATACAATAAATTCATTTTCATATATTTCTTCATCTTCAATATCGGTTTCATCATCTGGAATTTCATAGGCATTTCATTATATATCATCATATTATCTTCAGTTAATTCATCATTAGGCTCATGAACATTATAAAGATCAGAATTTATTATTTTTTGTGGTACAGAAGAGAATTTTTTTACTTGATTTTCATCGTGATTTACTGTTATCATTTCTTCAGTACAATTACGACGTACTATGTTTTTTGTTGATATAACACTTGTTGTAGAATCTATCCAATGAATTAGCGCAAATAAATCTATTTTATCTAATTGATCAGCCATCTTTGCTTTTTTTTTCAATCGTTCGCTTTGACGAATGCTTTTTTCGACAGGAAAGAACCGGCAGAACGCCGCGTAAACAAAGCTGCTTATCACGTAATTTACTGGAGAGATCAATCAAGCGAACGTGCTCGAAGTCGGTGATCTCAATGCGCGATATATACTTCATACTGACGAAGCAGTTACGTACAATAATGTCAGAATTTTTCTGAATGACAAGACGTCAGAAGAATTGTCGACGCCGATGATGAACCTCAGGTTACAAACACACATAATATGGCAGGCAGAATGGGATGCGTCCGAGACAGGTCGCAAAACATACTAATTCTTCCCAAACATAGCAGATAGACTTGATAATAATTGGATACGCCTAAACAACCTAATGACATCAATATTCACAGGACATGGCATATTTCGTGCACATCGTGCACTATATGCTACCGAAACGGACCCAACCTGCCCTAATTGCAATAGGGGAGACGACGACACAGTGGAGCACTTCCTGTTGCACTGTCCCGCATATAGAGACAAACGTAATGATCTCATAATGGTCATACGTTCGGAAACGAACGTTGACCTCAGCCTAACGTGGACTGAAATAGTGCAAAAATTCGTCCAAACAAAGGACACATATAAGGCACTCGAAAAATTTGTCAAGGCGTACGCAAAAGAGAAATTGTTCGAGGAAATTCGGAGAATCCGCAAGGGGGTGAGAGAAAAAAGGAAGGTAGCGTAAACGGGAGCAGCAATGCCCAACACACAGAATCCTCCAACCCTTAGAAGTAGTAGGTTATTACCAGCGCCGTAAAACATAGCTCGTGAACTTCATTGATCCACTGCATAGGGACTTTATTCTCCATTCACTTTACTTTTCTGCTTGTTCCGTTTTTTTTTCTTTTTTTTTCTCCTACTTTTGCTTCTATCTATCTACTTCACTATACTTTCAGGTACTTAACAATCTTTAACAATAAAAACTTTTACATATTTCAGGAAACACTAAACATTAAATTTCTTTCAGCTGTCGATAATATAATGGAGCCCCCATCACACCATAAACAACTGGGGCCGCCAACCAAACCGAATAAAACTAGTACTACAGGAGACCGAAATCCGAGCCCGGGGAGCGTGACATCCGTCCCCAATAAGATGTCAGTCAAAGGCATTTTTACAATCTTTTAAATTTAAATCTTTAAATGTATAATCTTACTGATTGTCAATCAAATTCTATGATGCCCAGATTTTTTATCTAATGATTATTTTAAAAATAAGCTTTATTCTTTTAATCTTTTGAAATCGGTTTTTTTTTATTTTCAATCATTTAATATTCAATCAAATTATAAAAATTTTTCTTTTTTTAATGTTTATCATTTCGTTGAGCAGTCAACTTAAGAAATTAGGACTGGTAAATTATTTTGCGTCGGTATAGTAGAAAAAACATTCAACTAGTGTCACTGTTTTCTGAAAGATGACAGTAATTGCACTGTTTCTGTGGGGAACCGCTAGCTGGTAAATTGGGAAGTTACCGGCGCGGAGCACCCACAAGCTCAAGAGTTCCTGCAATCGCCGTACGGGCGTGAGAGTATTCAGTATTTGTCAGGCTTGTGACGCTTCACGCACTTGCAATTATATTTATATTTGTTATTAATTCTCTACGTATCTTAAATAAATAAATTTATAGTTAAACAATAATTGAGTGTTCACGTTAATAAATAATATATGTGGATGTTCCCTAGTCCCCACATATTGGTGACCCCGACGTGATTTGCCTTTTGTGTGCAAGATACCCTTTGTTCAGAGCGGCCATTGTGGTTTTTCCACGTGCACGTAGACAATTGACTTTTCAAAAAATACTTGTTTACCGTACAGAACTGATAAAGTATCATGCCTAATATACAACATTCGCCTCAACCACCTGCACCAGGTACCACTGAAGCTGATCAGTCGCATCAAGATAATCTAAACTCGCTTTTACTTGTTGACACCGCGACGGCAGATTCTTCAAGATCTCAGAACCAGGAAATGATTGTTACAACAGCAGCATCATCACAAGTTAATCTTGCTCAAAGTATTCCTACAACATCTACTACAACACATCAAGACAGGGTACCACCATTAGTGTCACAGCCAGGGTATTTTCATGTGCCACAAGGTCATACACCTTATCAATACGGTATGTACAACCCAGCAGTAAATCAAGCCACATCAGGGGATGTGAGAATGAGGTTTCCACCAACATTACCACCTGGTCAACCGCCATTTTATCTGCCACCTAATCCATATGCTTACCCAGTGATTCCTCGTGCAGCTAGAATCGAACGTAAAGAGTTACCAAGCTTCTGGCCGGAGAATGTCAAGCTGTGGTTCACATCAATTGAAACAACCTTCAACAGCAAGCAAGTTGTAGATGATCAAAGCAAATATGAAGCAGTCATTGGCAGGTTAGACCAGGAGCACCTTACTGCCATTGAGCACATAATTAGCAGGCCACCTGAGCAAGATAAATACAAAGCCATCAAAGACGCACTCATCTCTCGATATGCTATGACTCAAGAGAGTAGCTTCAGAAAATTGGTCTCGGGATTAACTCTTACTGGAAAAAAACCTTCAGAGCTCTACGCCGAGATGTGTCGTCTTGCTGACAACGCCTTAGATGCTTCATTCATCAGGACATTGTGGTTGGATAGGCTGCCTAAAGACATTCAAATCACCTTGACAGCAGCTGAATCTCTAAGTAACAAGGACCTAGCTCTCCTAGCTGATAAAATGACCGAGATTCTCAAGCCCAAGTCAACTGAAGTTAGCACAATTGCAGCAGTATCTAAGCCTGAACCTCTGAGTGAAATTGCTGAACAATTGCAAGCATTAGCTGAGGAAGTACGCAAGCTGTCTTTGAGGGTAGATTCAGTGAGTAATAAGGGAGGTAATCGCGGTAGATCACGCAGTTCAAATTCAAGCTCGTCTAGAAGCCGTTCTAAGTCTCCTAACTCTAGTGAAAGAGTCTGTTTTTATCACAGATCATTTGGCGACAAGGCCAAGAAATGTTTGAGGCCATGTTCATTTGAGAGCAACCAGGGAAACGAGGCCAGCCATCAATAGACTCGGCGACTGCTGATGGTGTAAACAGTCCTCGCCGGCTATTCATCTTAGATCAAATTTCTCAAGTGCAATTTCTCATAGACACTGGAGCACAAGTTTCGGTCATTCCACCAGCTCACAGTGACAGAAAGCAGCCTACTGGTCAATTTTTATACACAGCTAACCAAGGAGTTATTCAAGTTTTTGGAGAAAAAGCTCTTACACTCAACCTTGGACTTCGCAGACCAATTAACTGGATATTTACCATCGCTGATCTACCATATCCAATCATTGGAGCCGACTTGATGTATAAATATAATATAGCAGTCGACTTAAGTCACAGTAAAATCATTGACACTAGCACTGGCGCTGAATCATCAGGTACGTTTGCACCTGCACCTTTTAATACAATTACATCGTTAAGCAGTAATTCACGTTACTCATCCATCCTTCAAGAATTTCCAGGTCTTTTAGGCAATCCTTCCAACAACGCTTCAAAGAAACATTCAGTGAAACACTACATTCCAACAACTGGTTCGCCATGTTCTTGTAGAGTTAGACCACTTCGCCCAGAGCGTTTGAAACAAGCTAAGGCAGAGTTCCAACTCATGATTAACTTGGGTAACGTCAGACCTTGTAGTAGTCCTTGGTCTAGTGCCCTACACATGGCAGCAAAGAAAGAGGGAGATTGGAGACCTTGTGGAGATTATCGGCAACTCAATAGCCAGACAATCCCAGACCGATATCCTATCGCTCTTATCCAGGATTATACATCAATCTTAGCAGGCAAGAAAATTTTTTCAAAGATCGACCTTAAAAAGGCTTTTCATCATATTCCTGTTGCGGAAGAAGATGTGCCTAAAACCGCAGTGCTTACACCGTTCGGTCTCTTTGAATTTCTCTGTATGCCTTTTGGTCTTCGGAATGCTGCGCAAACTTTCCAAAGATTCATCAACGAAGTTTTATCAGGCTTAGAATTTGTTTACGCATACATCGACGATCTACTCATCGCTTCTACAACTCAAGAAGAGCATGAAGAACACCTTCGTTCTGTCTTCAAGCGACTCAACGAGTATGGACTATGCATCAACGCTGATAAATGTGTTTTTGGTTCAGATCAAATTGATTTTCTTGGTTATCGCATTACTCCTGATGGTGTTGCACCTCTACCTGATCGAGTTAATGCACTAGTCAACTTCAAAAAGCCTGAAACTATTGCTGAGCTACGTCGCTTCATAGGCGCAATTAATTTCTATAGACGACATATCAAGAATGCAGCTGCAACTCAAGCACCACTGAACGACCTTCTCAAGGATTCTAAGAAAGGTGATAAACGTCCAGTTCCTTGGACCTCGATAACATCAAGTGCGTTTGATCAAATGAAGCGTCAACTTGCTCAAGCCACGCTGTTAGCTCATCCAGTTCATTCAGCAAGTCTACGGTTAACGACGGACGCCTCCAGCTCAGCAGTTGGTGCAGTCCTCGAACAATCAGCAAATGGTTTTTGGCAACCATTAGGATTTTTTTCACGCAAGTTATCACCAGGTCAACAAAAATACAGTACATATGATAGAGAACTGACAGCTATCTATGAAGCTATTAAATACTTTCGACCTTGGTTAGAAGCAAGAGATTTTGTTATCAGAACAGATCACAAACCGTTAATACACGCTTTTCGACGTAAGAATGATAAATCGACTACACCAGTTCAACTTCGACAGTTAAGTTTTATCAGCCAGTTCTCAACAGACATCCAGTATATCAACGGTGCATCTAACAGTGTGGCAGATGCTTTGTCACGTGTAGATGCTTTGCGATTTCCTACAACGATAGATTTTAACCAGTTGGCTCAAGCTCAAGCTACAGATCAAGAACTTCAAGAACTTCTAGCTGATGATAAGTCATCCCTCAAGCTCCAGAAACTCACCTATGGAAAAGATCATCAGGTCATATACTGCGACGTGTCTACAAACGATATCAGACCGTACGTTCCTGAGCAATTTCGTCGTCAAGTCTACGATACATTTCACAACCTGTCTCATCCTAGTGGGCGAAGTACTAATGTGATAATATCACAGAGGTATGTCTGGCCATCGATGAACAAGGACATCACCTATTGGGCACGCAATTGCGTCCCATGTCAGAAATCAAAAATCGGTCGTCACGTACACACACAACCAGGTACTTTCACAAATCCAGACCAACGATTTGATCATGTGCATATCGACCTAGTTGGACCACTTCCAGAAGTTGATGGACTCAAATACTGTCTCACCATGGTGGACAGGTTCACCAGATGGCCGGAAGCCATACCTGTTAAAGACATCACAGCTGACACGGTCGCAAATGCTTTCTTTACTCATTGGATCGCCCGATTTGGATGTCCCAAGATAGTAACCACAGATCAAGGTTCTCAATTTGAAAGCGCCTTATATACTTCTTTACTTAACCTAGTTGGTGGCAAACGCATCCGTACCACTGCTTATCATCCACCTGCCAATGGTTTAATAGAGCGATGGCACCGTACAATGAAGGCAGCTATCATGTGCCACCAGAATCCTCACTGGACCAAAGTGCTGCCTACAGTTCTCTTAGGCCTGCGGACGTGCTACAAAGAAGAGTTAAAGGCCTCGCCAGCTGAATTTTTATATGGGTCGACACTTAGAATTCCAGGAGAATTCTTCACGCACGAAGATCCGCCAGAAGATCCTAACCTTTTCTTAGAAGACTTTCGAGTTCACATGAGAAACGTCAAGCCAGTTCCTGCTGCTCATCATTGTAAACAGAAAACCTTCTGTTACAAAGATTTGTATACCTGCTCACATGTTTTTCTCAGAGTAGACGGTGTCAAGAGACCGTTGGAGCAACCCTACTCAGGCCCTCATGAAGTTATCAAGAGATTGGAGGGTGACCGCACTTTTCTTATCAATTTAAACGGCAAAGAAACAGTGGTAAACGTTGAACGTCTCAAACCAGCACATTTAGCAACTGATGACGTTTTCAACACTCCAAATCAACCTAGTGCCTTACAACAGACTAATCAGTTTCAACAATCAAATTTGGACCCAATTCCAAGTACTTCTCAACAGACAAGTACTGCTCAGCAGTCAGAGACTGCGAGTCAACCGACTTTACTTCAACAACGAGACCTAC